TTGTGCGAAACTAACACTGGTCGACCGCTTCTAATTATGAGGTCGACTGGATCTGTTTTGCACTCAATTGGTACGATCATTTGGGCCATTTCGGACTCGTTTCAATTTAGCCGAGGTCGACCTATGATGGTTCTGAGGTCGACCTATGAAGGCAAAAGTTCGAGTTATTTGTGCTAAACTTGTTGAGGTCGACCTGTGATGATATTGAGGTCGACCTCGGGCCATTTAAATCGATTGAAAGCCAGATGTTCATGGGGAGTGCAGTGCAGGACATTAGGCCACCTTGTAATGCACTCGAAGACACAAAAGTCTGCTGCTTTCACCGAGTTCTCCTTTGCTTGTCGGTGACCGGCATAGGGTTGCAAAGGATAACTCGGTGAAGGCAGCAGACGTTTGTGTCTTCGAGTGCATTCCAAGGTGGTCTAATGTGCTGTTTTGCACTCCTCATGAAAGTCACATATGGTTTTCAATCGATTTAAATTTTCCGAGGTCGACCTATGCTTCTTTTGAGGTCGACCTATGAAAGCAATTTTGTACTTGAATTGTTACGGGTTTATATCGACCCATTCTCGTTTTAAATTAGCTGAGGTCGACCTATGCTTCTTCTGAGGTCGACCTATTCTCGTTTTAAACTAACTGAGGTCGACCTATGACGCTTGGAATGAAACGCATTTCACGAGAGCCAAGCAAATCCAGACGGTATGTGGTCTCGATGAAGAGGAAGATGCTCAGGGGCGCAATAGGCCAACGAGTAACCACCTGACTGTTCAAGCCAGAGTTCTTCACCACATGTTTTCCTACAACATTCTGCCAAAGGGTGGACATCGGGAGACAGTCACCTACTTCGACATGGAGCTCCTCACCAACCTACTGTTAAACGAGAAGGTGAACTTGCCATACTTGATCTTTAACCACATGCTTACTGCTGCAGAGAGTTCAAACAGGAATCTTCCCTATGAGATGATCCTCACTGTGATATTTGAGCATCTTAATGTGAATTTAAGTGAAGAGGTGGGGTTAAGAATCTCAAGGCAGGAGTTCTATACTGTTTCATCTCTGAAAAAGATTGGCTTTGAGCTGCGGAATGGTGAGTATGTCAGAGCAAACAATTCTCATGGTGGTGGTGATGATGATGATGATGATGGTGATGAAGGAGCTCGAGACGAGCCAATGGGGGAGGCACATACTTCAACTCCACCGATCACCTTACAGCGTGTGTGGGAGCGCATGGATGGCATGTACGAGTACATGGGCCAGATGTCCACCCAGATGACTGGCATGTACGACTACATGGGGCAAATGACCGCCCAGATGAGCACAATGCAGGTGACCGTGAATGAGATGCGAGATGAGTGGCGATCTTTCAGCGGAAGATACATGAATCCCACCACATCCGACCACCATCATGCTACCACAACCAATGAAGAAAATGAAGAAAATGTGGATGAGGGAGAGGGGGGAGATGAGTAGGAGAGAGGAGATTTTATATTGTGTGTTTTAGTTTTCAAAACGATTGTTGATTGTTATTCTGTTATTTTTTTAGTTTTATTTTTATGTGTGAACAATTATGATTTCTGTTTTATTTTTAGTTGTTATGCTATGAATTGATGAGTCCTTGTTATAATTATTAATTACTAATTATGATGGTTTGAAACATAATTTATACGATTAAAAGAACCACACAAATCGACATACATAAGCAAAAAAGACACGGGGCATAGGTTGACTTTCTTGTATTCGGTCGACCTCGTACCGGATTAGGTCGACCGAGAAACCAACACTTGATCTTCATTTTACGTCAAATGATTGGACACTTTGATAGAACACTGATCTTCTATCTGGTCGACCTCTTTCCTTATCCGGTCGACCATTTTGTTAATGACTGCCATCAAGTGCTCGACCAGATATATTAGGTGGTCGACCATGTTGTATCTGACGCCAACGAAATGGCCGACCGAGGTTTTATTCTGGTCGACCAAAAATAACAACTTAAACTAAGTGCGGTCGACCAGGTGGTCGTGGCGGTCGACCGCAATACTTTCTCGTGCTGCCCAAATTAGTCAATTCGGTCGACCGCCTTGACAAATAGGTCGACCGAAAAGTGCATGTCACCGTGACATGCATGTCATAGTAGGCATACCCTTTCTCATGAATAATTATTTTTATGGTTATAGAAATATAGCTAAAAATTGACAATTTAGTACTAATTCACTGGAAACAAATATATCTACAAATTAATTTTTTCATAGAAGAAAATGCGATTTTGTTTGATGCTAGTATTTAATCAAAATGATGTTGTGATAGAAACTTTAAAATGTTACCACGTACATAGTCCGGTTATGGTTTACAAACTATAAATATCTCTTGCAAAATATTAAAAGAGACGAGGGTGGTGTTGATAATCACTTTTATTTTTTTAATATCTTAGTTTTTGTTTATTTTATTTTTATTTTAGCTATATTCTTAGTTAAGACCACCTTCTTTTTGAAGTGGTTCATATTCTCGGTTAAGATATAGTGTTTATAATTTTCATTGATTTTCAATAATTCTAAATTAATTCACAAAAATGATTAATTAAGAGTTTATATATTTAGCCATTTATCGAATCAGGATATAGGGTACAATTCATCCTTTTGATTTAAGCATTAAGGGTAAATAATTTAGTAATCAACTATTTTTGAATGAGTAAAACATAGCAAGTTTTTTTTTTTTTTGTTGATTTGATTATTAATGGATAATTCTAAAAGTTATAAAAATAAAAGCACGTAAAATTAAAAAAAAAATGAAAGGGTATGGTGTTTTTATGTTCATAATTTTGTGTTTATGAATTAGTTTAGACTAAACTAATGTCACATTATGCAACGAGGAAAAGAGCACAAATTTGAGTTGCATACTCATATTCTTTGCTGTGTAACATATTTTCATGTATGCATACTAAACATACTCATTATTTTTGGATTCAAGGAGATCAAATGGTACAGATTATGAGAAGCTATGTATTTTTCTTTTTTTTCCACAAAAGTAATAAGAATATCATGACATTGATCACATACAAAAGAATTTCAATGATAATATGAATATCGTGATAAACTTGCTCATAATATGCCAAACTTTGGATAATTTTATGAATAAAAAATTTAATTGAAAAATTATTAAAAATTCTAAGTTGTGATAGTTTATTAAATTATAAACTCAAATATTCCGGCCAATCGGCCGACCACATGCTAGTTTAAAACAATATATAAGTTTCAACTCCTAATAGTTAATTAAAACGATATTGATTAACCCGAATCAATTACAATAAAATAAAATATGATTTCACCAACATCACTACAAAAATATAGCTAAAAATATGTATAAAAAACCGTATATAGAAGGAGACAAATTGAGATGACACATTATCCGAAATATCTAGTTTATTCGGATCGTCCTAATTATTCATGTAAAGAGATGAATTAACAAATACTGTGCTTATACACAAAACATGTCTATGGCATACATACGCGTATTTTGTACGTATTAGGCTGATTAAATTCCCATAAATACTAGACTACCATGAGTCCTGACCCACACCCACCGTGCGCCGTAGTACACAAACGAGGAAATAATAGTTCGCCGGTAACGGTGGACGGTGGGAGCTTAAAATTATAGGAACCAGATCGAGTAGTTTGACCTTACTCATCAAATTAATTTGCCATCACTACGGACAATTTGTGTTATATGCAAATATCGAGAATATCTATGGATCGGTTATTTAAGGTTGATGTGTCCATATTCATATTAAATTTACGACTACAATGAATAACATTGAATTGTTCACTCGAGATAAGGATGGGAACGAGTTATTTGAATTTATACTATTTGAAAGAAAAAAATGAAAAATAGTCAATTTTGTATTTTAAAAAAATTATACATATTTACAAGGAAAACAAATTAAACCATATAGTGATGTAGATTAAATTAATTTACCATCTTATTATGTAATTTAAGTTAAACTATATGAACTACAAAGTTGTTTTCACCTATCTTTCGTTTCAACTGTTATAAGGTTCATTTCCAATAAACATGCTCCGACATAAACTATGTCCTCATGGCATAATGTTTTTTGGTCTAATGAAGACGAAAATTGAAAAGAGTTTGAATTATATTAGGAGAAATTCAGTAATCAACAAGGGCTCCTGAAGGTAAAAGTTTTGGATATTCTACTCATAATGTTCCTGTCTCGAAAAAACCATAAATGTAGATAAGGCAATAATTGACTCATTGAATAATTTGACTTAATTGTTATCTGATCTAAATTGACTCATATGTACTTTTAATAAATTTTGGTATGAATTAGATTTGAACTAGTTCTTATTTGGATAAATTCATTTAGGTTTGAATTGAAACATTATAACCTTTTAAATATCTAGAATTAAACCCTAAACATATATATAGTCAATGAATTAAATTGGCGGATAGTGTGATTAAGAAAAGGGGTTTTGCTTCCCACCAAAACAAAATAAAACAAAATCGAAGGGTCCTCAATTGCAACCGGGGAAAAGAAAAGAAAAGGAGAAACAGCATTGCCCGTACCCGCGTTCCCAGTTTCCCGACTACACTTGTCCTCCCATCTGCAGTCGCAGCCTTTTATTGAAAGAAAGACCTGCGTATTTTTTTTTTTTTTTAAGAAACAATTATTATCCTCAATTTTTCACTTTTCTCCGTTTGTTAACGATACTGACGCCAACGACAATGAGTTGACTTGCGGACACGCCTCACACGGCTCTGAGGCTGAGATCTCCCCCACAGTTAAAAACCATTCACTGTTTCACCCCTCACCAACCAATTTCACCCCGACAGTAAAATGGCGGGACTATATATACTTCTGCCCCGTTCCTTTCCAACTCACTTCGCTCGCTCTTTTTTTAGTTTCTCTAACAACAACTAGCTTTCTCCCAAAGCTTTTAACAAATCTGAACAGCTTAATTTAACTCGACTCTTTCCTTCCTAATCAGAAGATGCAGATCGGAATCGCAACCTCCCTCCCGGCGCACCAGGTCCACCTTTTTCAGGCGAGGCGCGCCGGCAGCTTCAAGTACAACCAATCTCCCCTCAATCCTTGTGTAATTTCTTCTTCCTCTTCCGCCGCCGATTGTACCAAGAGGCACCTCTCCAACCTCGACAGGCTTCTCCAAAAACAGGAGCCACCGACTCCGAGACCCGACGGCGGCGCTTCGGCAGCGGGTTGGGCGAATCGGGGGAGGAACTTACTGGAGGGGCTGAATCTGGCGCGGATCTGGCCCGAATTGAAGGCGGCGGAAGAGATGTCCCCCAGGCACTTGAACCGGCTGCAGCGGCTACTCTCGAAGACGCCCGAATACTCCCCCCGCAACAGCCTGGCTTCCCGGTGGAGGGAGTACCACGGCGGCGACGACTGGAAGGGGATGCTGGACCCCCTCGACGAGAATCTCCGGCGGGAGGTGGTCCGTTACGGCGAGTTTGTCCAGGCGGCGTACCACGCCTTCAACTCAGATCCGGCCACGGAGGCCGACGAGGCGCCGCTCCCCGTACGCGTGTCGCTTCCCGATAGGTCGTACAGGGTCACGAAATCGCTCTACGCCACGTCATCCGTCGGGCTGCCGAAGTGGGTCGACGAAGTGGCGCCGGATCTCGGGTGGATGACCCAGCGGACCAGCTGGGTCGGGTACGTGGCGGTCTGCGACGACCGCAGGGAGATCCAGCGGATGGGCCGCAGGGACATAGTCATCGCCTTGCGCGGCACTTCGACCTGCCTCGAATGGGCCGAAAACATGCGGGCCGGACTGGTCCCAATGGACGACGAGGACTCTCCCCAAGCCCAAAACCAGGCGAAGGTCGAGTGCGGGTTCCAAAGCCTGTACAAAACCGAAGGAGCCCACGTCGCCAGCCTGGCCCAATCCGTGGTCCAAGAAATCAAACGCCTGATGGAGCAATACAAAGGCGAGACACTAAGCATAACAGTCACCGGCCACAGCCTCGGCGCCGCCCTCTCCCTTCTCGTCGCCGACGAGCTCAGCGCCTGCTCCCCCGACGTGCCGCCGGTGGCGGTTTTCTCCTTCGGGAGCCCCCGCGTCGGGAACCGCGCCTTCGGGAACCGGCTGAAGGGCAAAAACGTCAAAGTGCTGCGGATCGTGAACAACCAGGACGTAATTACCAAAGTGCCCGGGCTGCCGATGGTGGAAGATGACAGCCACCCGTTGGCGTACAGCCACGTGGGGACCGAGCTGCGTGTCGACACGCGGATGTCGCCGTACCTGAAGCCGAACGCTGACGTGGCGTGCTGCCACGACCTGGAGGCGTACCTGCACCTTGTGGACGGGTTTTTGGCGTCCAACTGTCCGTTCAGGTCGAATGCGAAGAGGAGTCTGGTGAAGTTGTTGAGTGAGCAGAGAGGGAATGTGAAGCAGTTGTATACTAGCAAGGCGCAAGCCTTGAGCTTGAAGTTTGAGAGGCAAGGGCTTGCGCCCACTGGCTGCTTGCCTAGCCCTTCTTCTTCTTGACTGTTAATTATTAATCAAATTAATGGGTAAATTATTAAACATTTTGTGTCTTCTCTTCCATTGAGTGTGTTCATAATCATAATGGTAGCCGTAACGCAATCGTATACTTCAAAGTTGAACCTATGGGAACAGTGTGTGACGAAATGCTACGCCTAAACGGTCAATTTGTGAGTTTGCTATATATCGAGTGCCAGAGTCGACAAGGGTCCGAGGAGCTGGTGTTTGACTCCTACCGTATCTTCTAATGACATGGTGAGCTTATTTGCCAGCCTGACTTAATCGAACTAACGATTTGATTTACCGAATAGCTACCTATTATTATATAAATCACATTACACTTGGTAAGTATTCCATTTAAACATTTACCCCACGACATGGATAAACCTAGAGAATTCATTACCGGTGGGACTTTTCCCGAGGTTCGAATTATTTCAGTCTCTCATACATTCATCATATACTACTTACCGTTCATATTGTGAAACGTAAAGGCTCGTTTGGAAGTTGCGATTGTTAAATATATGTATTGTTGAGAATGCATGTATAATATTATACATGTATTGTCGAATTTGATGCATTGTAGAATACAACGTTTGGTATGTGTGATTGTGTATGTCGCATCAGCTAAAAGCTGAGACAAAACAATCTCAACTCAACAATCTCAACAATCACAACTAAAAGTTGAGATATAACAATCACAGAAACAATCCATGTATTGTTTCTGCTAAAAAAACAAAAAAACGATGCATTATAAACAATACATGCACAATGAATGACAATCTCAACAAAACAATCGCAACTTCCAAAGTCCAAACGACCCTTAGAGCGCGGATAAGGTATGAGGACCAAGAGATGGGCACTTAGTTACTTGGTGAAGAATTCAGAAATCAGAATGTGAAATCAAGTGTCCGCACTACTACTGTTTGGTCTTCCATCAACCGGACAACCAAATCAATCGTGGGATTCAATGGCATATTTCCCGGCACTGGCCATTTTGTTAATCGGAGGAATCCGCTCCAAACTTTAGACCCATACTTTTATGGAAATGTACTTTAGACTACATGTGGTTTAGAAGGAACCTTTAATTAATTGGATTTTTTGTTTGTTATATACTGATCATGTGTTGCTGATATAGGTTCGTATGATTAGTGTTAGGTGAGTAATTAATTAATTACAAATGGGTAGTAGAGCTGTGTTTGTTAGACCATGCACTAGCTGGCTGTCACAGTCACCAGCCACTAGGTACGTACTTGGTACATATTCAGTGAATCTACACAATCTACAAAACACTATAAGGCAATGTCAATATATGACATTTGCCACGTCAGCCTCGGCTGAAAGCACCGCACAGTGCGGAGGGTCCTTAATGTAAATTCCCTCTTCCTCGCATTCTCTCTTCAAGTTCCAATCTCTCAATGGAAATCGCCCACCTCTCTCTCACATACCTAACCCACCATGTTCTGTCTCCCACAGAAATTATATCAAGGACCTCCATCCCTAATGGAAGATCTTCAATGGAAGCCCTCTTCCCAGAAATTAAACATCTCTGACTCACCGTCACACAGTCAAACTACAACAATCGAAGACCTCCCACCCCTAATCTCTCTCTTTCTCGCATTTTGTATCCCAGTCTCCCACCAGAAATCGAACGCCTCTCTCGCCATCCCAACACTACAATTGAAGACCTCTCACTCAATCGAAGATCTCTCAATTTCCCATCGCCGCCCTATCTGTCTTTCTTGGCTATGAGCCATCGGTGTTTTGTAGCCGAAATCCCTTGAAAACTGCATTCATCTGTTCTTTCGTCGTCTGTGTGTGTCTCTGACCTGCTCCTCTCTGTCGCCCTTGCCGTCCCACTTCGTAGTCTCACTCCAGCGCCGTACTTTACCCTAACCATCCTGGATAATCCGCATCTCTCGCTTTTAATGTTTTTCTCGCTGCATAGAGTCGAGAACCTCGCATAACGCCTAATCGGAGGTAAGTTCCCTTAGTGAATTTTAGTTTTTTGTCTTCTCGGAATCTGTTCATGGGATTTCCGTGCCGATATTCTTCCATTTATTTTTCCTTTTGAAATGGGCATTCGATCCAATTGTCGATCAAATTGTTACTACGCGTCCCTGGTTTTGATTTACAGTTGTTCAGTGCTTTGACGAGATTTAGATCCAATATCTGAATTGGGCTCCGAACCATAGTTCGTCGAAGAATTTATTTCCCCGGACTGATTGGTTAACTTTCTTGATGGGATTGACCGATTGCAGTAATGCCCTCAAAGCTTTGTTACCGTGATACCTTTTCTAGCTAGAAGAACGTTCAACGTTGTATCTATTTCCAAGTTGAAAGCCCGCCTCACTGTGTGAATCGCCATCTTGCAACTTTAGCTATGAGGAGAAGGAAGTTCCTTTGGTGGTCCGATGCATGCATGGAGTGAATGTTGTTTCAGTCCCAAGTACGTCACTATTCACCTTTCGCTTATCTTTGGCTGTTGTGAAGTTTCCTTTCATGATTTGCACTTCATTAGTTCTACCTTCTAAGCATGATGTAAGTTTTAAAGTAGTGCAGTTCGTGATGAGCAAAAGCATGAATTGAGATGGCATATTATGTAACTTCAAAGCATGATATACGTAATGAATGAAAAGCAGTTTGTGATCAGCAAATCATGACATGAGATGGCATATTATTTTTATTGAATTGGTTCTACCTTCTAAGGGTGATATATGTAATGAAGCAAAATCAGTTTGTGATGAGCAAAAGCGGTGTAGTTTTAGATTTTAAATAGTTGCTTTTTTCAATTTACTTTTTATGATTTTTTTAATTACATTTCTTCTTTTGTTCTTAGTGTTTTTTTGGGAATTGCTTACAGAAAGATGCTCCAGCTATCATGATTCTGTTTTGCATGCTTATTGGTTGTTTGCAAGCTTTTTTGTCACTCAGATTATTTACTCCTTTCTTTGGTATCTGTTCGATGTAATTTTTGGTTAAATTGATTTTTAGAAACTTAAATCCTTTTTCTATAATGGATAATTTATTTGATCTTCTATGTTTGATTTTCCTTCCAGGGCTTCTGGACTTTGATCCTCTTTAGGGAGATGTGGTGGTTGTTGTTATCTGTGATAAAAAAATTCTGCAAGTAGTGGGGTAGTAAGAGTTCTGTAGTCAATAACCCCTTAGCTTCCTCCACTCTCTTCCCTTACAACTCATTCCATTCTTCCATTTATTGTATGAAAGAAAGAGTGATTTGCTTATTTTTCAACTTTCTCTCACTTTATTTGCGGCATATCGACTGTTTCTATTATTATACAGCATATGATGTTCCTTGGAAGGCCAGGCTAAGCGTAACCGATGCGGTAACTGATCTGGATTTGATTATCTTTTGTTAGTTTGGATACACGAGAATGCACTGAATACATATATATGTATTACAATTATTCCATAGTATAAGAATTATCGATTGACACTCCTGATTGGTTATGGCAATACCGTGGTGCTGTTTTTTGGAGATGTGAAAGCACCTGGCTAACTAGGGAAGATGTATACCCCAATTCACTTTATGTTGTAAGGGTGGGAAAGTTAAACTTCTTGAGCAATGCACTACATCAGATTTTTTTAAGACGTTGTTAGAGTCCGATTCTACTTTTGTTGGCATTTAAGACAATATATTTGTTAGTATAACAATTTGTTTAGTTTTATTTCTTTGAGTGATAAGGTGGATCATGCTATAAATGATGGTCATTGCGTGTATGTTATGCCAAATTTGAAAACCTTATGGTTAGTATTATGTTGCTCATGTATGGGCTATTTCTCGATGCTTTTGGTTTTTAAATTTTTTGAACATTTAGATTGTAGGTTTATCATTTTCCAAAGACAATAGACTTTGAAGTTGGAAATAGCTTGAATCTGTTTGGTTGATTACATCACCAGTTTACTGTCCATGAGTTTGTCACACCTCCAAGATAAATTTCCAGTTTTTCTTGCCAGCAGGTAGTCTGTGTGTTACTTTTGGACATCAGCGATTTCAATGCTAGTGACTATGATGTTGCAATAGCCTTATTGCTTTCCATGAGTTATCAAGTTATGCTAACTTTCATATTAATAAAGACTCATGACAATTACCTTTCAACATAATGCGTAATAGAGATGGATCTTGGATCTTATGACCAATGCTTACTGATGAAATGGTTAAAGTTAAGAATTCATGTTGCTCGAGTATTTTTTACTCCAGCGGCCAATATAGTACAACAATATACACATCGGTTTTGTACTCCACCGGCCAACGGACCGGGCCCAATGCTAGTAAATAAAAGCCAAATGAGAAAACTTGAAGCCCCATTTCAAATTTCTTGCATCCAGAGTGAAAGTAGGAAGGACATTTTGGTCTTCACAATTACTTTTTTTTATTCATTAAAACGACACTTACTAGGATTCGAACCATGACCATTTTAAAGAAAAACAAAGATCATAACCAATCACACTAAGTACATTTGTTGTATCTTTTTAAATTAAAAACATATAATTGCAGAGAAGATAAAACTCTTCCCCCATTTAAAATTCCATGCTCCAGGAGCGTTTGTAGGAAGAGTAGAATAGGGAGTGTCAATTTTTTTTCTTTTTCCTCTGTGGAACGGGCCAACTTACCGTACACATGCGGATTTAAACGGGTCCAGGAGTGTCAATTTTTTTCTTTAAGTCCTTTTATTTCTCCATGGTGGTAAAATATATATATGAAAAGGCAAAAACAATACTCCTTTTTATTGCTAAAAAGAAAAAAATTTTAAAAATAAACTAATGCATGGATTCTAATGGGCTAACCGCTAATCATAAAATAAAAGAGTTGAACGGTCTGACCTACATGGGATTTGCCCATCAAGTAAAACAAATGAACATCATGGGTTTGTCATTCTAAAACAAGATATTTTCTCTAGCATAATATATACTATGCTATTATTTTATATCTTAGTGGCTAAAATATAATGTATTTTAAAGTTATTCAATGGTTCAGCTTCGAC